TCCACCCGAGTGCCCCCGTGCACCCCCGTCGTCGTTCGCCACGATAGCGGAGAAGTTTCGGCGCCGGAGGTAAACGCGGCGACAGCAACACGCCGCGCGAAAGCAACACGCCGCGCGGGAATTAGAAAATTTTCGGGTCGGGTCCGGAGGTAAACCTGGCCGATCGACGCTTTGCTTCCCCGCTGGCGCCCTTAATATTACGTCGATTCGCGTGCCCGCACGTCTATTCGGCCACCCGAGTGCCCCCGTGCACCCCCGTCGTCCGTTCGCCTCGATAGCGGAGAATTTTCGGCGCCGGAGGTAAACGCGGCGAAAGCAACACGCCGCGGGAAAGCAACACGCCGCGCGGGACTTAGAAAATTTTCGGCTCTGTCGGGTCCGGAGGTAAACCTGGCCGATCGACGCTTCCCCGCTAGCGCCCCTTAATATTACGTCGATTCGCGTGCCCGCAAGTCTATTCGGCCACCCGAGTGCCCCCGTGCACCCCCGTCGTCCGTTCGCCTCGATAGCGGAGAATTTTGGCGCGGTATAAGTAAACGCGGCGAAAGAAACACGCCGCGCGAAAGCAACACGCCGCGCGGGATTTAGAAAATTTTCGGCTCTGTCGGGTCCGGAGGTAAACCTGGCCGATCGACGCTTCCCCGCTAGCGCCCTTAATATTACGTCGATTCGCGTGCCCGCAAGTCTATTCGGCCACCCGAGTGCCCCCGTGCACCCCCGTCGTCCGTTCGCCTCGATAGCGGAGAATTTTTGGCGCCGGAGGTAAACGCGGCGAAAGCAACACGCCGCGCGAAAGCAACACGCCGCGCGGAACTGAGAAAATTTTCGGCTCTGTCGGGTTCGGAGGTAAACCTGGCCAATTGACGCTTCCCCGCTAGCGCCCTTAATATTACGTCGATTCGCGTGCCCGCACGTCTATTCGGCCACCCGAGTACCCTCGTGCACCCCCGTCGTCCGTTCGCCTCGATAGCGGAGAATTTTTGGCGCCGGAGGTAAACGCGGCGAAAGCAACACGCCGCGCGAAAGCAACACGCCGCGCGAGACTTAGAAAATTTTCGGGACTGAGTCGACAAGGCACACAGGGGATA